AAATTATTGTTTTTAGGTATACAATATTTTTTTGCTTTAGTTAATTACAGAATTTAGGATTTATTATTAGATTTTTTACGTTCTTTATAAGTTAAATTATTGTTTTTAATTTCTTATTATACAATATACAAATATACAATATTATTTGATACGCATCTTATTTATTATATTATTATTAATAGTTTATATTATATTTATTTACAACTACAGATAAGGTATTAACTAAGAGATCACATTTTATTTGTACTTTATGTTCAGTTCATATTATATTTGAGATCACATTTAGTTTGTACTATTATTTATATTGGTTTGGTAGTCGTTTGATTAAGGTGTAAAACTAAACTTATTTGTCTAAAGCTAAGCTTATTTATAAAGGCATATTCCGTTTGTTAGATAAATAGCGTTTCTGCTTTTGCCTATTATGGCTGTGTTCGACGCTCCTTCGTACTTCCTTTTCAAACTCTATACGGCCCTGGAGTTTAAAAATGTCTGAAAAAATGAAATAAAAACATAACTAAAAATTCAGAAAATAAGTGAATAATATAAATTACCAAACAGAGCCACGCTAACTATTTTCAACTTAGATAGCGATTTTCTGCCGCATCGACCATCCCAATTGAAATGATGCAAAACTTCATCTGTGAAGATCCTTTTGATCACCGCTTCAATATCTCCTGAAGAGCCTTTTAAGGTGAAAAGATATGATATCTGCAAAGAGATTTGTGATGATTAATAAATAAACATATGAACCTAAATAAAACTGGAAAATATAATATCTACTCACCATTGCGTCTTCGTAATTTTTTTCTATTAGCTTTTCCTCCAAATCAAAAACAGCATCTAAAGATTGCATTGGCATAAGAACGGCCAGTTCTGTGTGGAGATCTTCGCAGCTTTCTCCGGATATGCGGCAAACACTCTGATGTACTTTTTTAATTAGCACTCTCGACTCACGCACGACTTTATGGTGAGCCATCACATCAGTTTTGTCAAGCATCTGAAATATATATGCAGTCAAAATTATGCAATGTGTTTTAAAAATATTCAAAGGTAAATACAACCCATGCCAAAATTATAAGGCGCATTTTGACAAGTTTTAACGAATCTATATACTTTATTCTCTAAAGACCCGTAAGAATTTCAAGGCTTTTAATTTGATTCCTTTGAAAAATTTTGAGTATGCAGTTTTGAGGTCCATTTAATTGAAGTAAAATAAAAGGTAAGTTTGAAGTAGCTGGGACTTACTGCTGATTTTTAGATTTTTTGTTTAAGGTTTTGCCCATTTTCTTCTATGCGGAATATGTGCGATGATTTTTTTATATGGACGAAATTACGCAACATCTTTAAAAAATTGCCAAAAATCAATAGTAAGTCATAGGTACATAAAACTTGCACTTTAAGGCACTTAAATTAAATGTGCTAAAAAACTGAATACATACTCTAAATCTTTCTAAGGAATCTAGTTAATAAACTTAATTCAGATTTATATAGCTTTTTTAATGCTTCCGGTTTAGAAAGTCAAGTATTATTAGAATAACACAGGCCAACAACAGTGTCGCGCTGTGTAGTCACTTACTTTTCCTTCCAAGCTATCCAACCGGGTCTCCAAATTTGTTTGCTTTTGTAATATAATTTCCAACATGTTCATTACATCTGTAAAATAAAAGAATTTGTAGCTACCTTCATATACATACATAAATGTGCAATCATGTGTAAAATTTTTAGACCAATTACATGAAGTGCTTTATATTACCTTTGTTTGTTGCTGAAATTTCGGAAACAACTGGTGTTTCAGTTGCAGCAAACACACTCTGGCTGTGACAAGATGTTAATACTAAAAAATATCAGGTTATTATAAGATTATTTTCTATTTCAAATGCTTACCTTGATTTGAAGAACAGGCGTTGAAGTCTAGGGAAAGTTGAAGCCTTTTCCTTTTTCCTTCCTTAGGGGTGGATGTGGCGGGGGGGTGTCCAGTCGAAAATATCGGCTTCCTCACTCATATTTCTCCAGAATTCGTAGCATGGTTAAAACAAAGAAAAAGAAAATGTGTTATTAATGGGAACAAGTAAATTTTGCTGATGTATACTAGAATAAACGTTTATAACTAGTGTGCGAACTCATGAAAGAGGTGATGTAGTATTGGAATTAAAAGAAAATTATTTTCATAAGGTATGCAAAAGTATTTGTATTTGATATTTTTTTTTTTAAACCGTATTATTTCATCACTTAACCCGCTTGCAAGCAAAATGCCAAGTCCAGAAAAGGATTCAAGGGGCTCAATAAAGTAATTACTTATTTCTTTAAATTTGTATCCGACCACTACCTCCTCTTCTGATTCTATGCGCATATCTATGACTTTGAAAGGTCCCGTATCTTCACTAAAACAAAAAGAATCTTTTTCTTTTTTATGATTAATGAAAAAACGCATCAAGTTTTGAATTTTTATCTTCTATTAAATTTTTTCTTTCGTCAATTCTCAAACACAACTGTTGTAAAATATTTGTGGGGGATTTAATAAGTTTTTTTAAGTGCTGCATATAATTTTCGAATTTGTAGGCCGAAAATGTGTCTAAGGGTCCATATTCTTTGGCACAATTAGACAAATGAAGCAGGCCGTGCAGGTTAAAACTTATTAAATGATCCCCATAAATATTTCCAAACAAATTAACAAATTCATTTAATAATTGCTGTACAATATTTGCTTCTGCTTTGTAAGATCTTTCGGAAGAGAGAATACGTATACTGGCATGTAATAAAAGAAAATGGTAATACAAATGTTCATCAACACAATTTTTTCAAAACAAATATACCCGAGTATAGTAAAAATTGTCTATATTCAGTGGATTTCCAATTTTTGATTTCATCAAAATTTCTGCAAACTCTTCCGAATTCAGATGGCACCCAGACAGAAAGAAATTTAAGCTTATCATTCATTACGTTAATGTTTACTTTATTTACTAGAAGATGCAAGAGTTTTTTGACCACACCTAAATCAACGAGGTGCATGGGATCTAAAGGAAATTGAGAAACCATTCCAAAACCCGCTTCTTCTAAAACATTTTCTTCTTCCCGAAATTTGACGTTATGGTGTGCCAAATCATTTCTATTTTTGAATGAAAAATCGGTTCTTAATTCACATAGTTCCTTAGAGAAGCATACCCTTTTTTCTAAATAATTACCTACTTGACAACATTTAGGGCAGCCCTTTTTCGCATTATGATTTTGAACCCCAGTCACAAAAGCTCTCGCGGGCGAATCACACGTAAATAAACGAACATTAAATCTTTTCAAAATGGGGTTAATGAAACCGACTTTCAAACCGTTATTTCTTAAACATACTACTTCGTCACAAAAATCTTTCATAAATTCATTAACATTGCTTGGTTTTTGCTTTCCTGAGAAGCAGGCGATAGTAAAAGGTTTTTCTTTTGGAAAATCAACGATTGAACCAAGAATAGGCCATAGTACTTTGCTTGAACTTTTGAATAGCTTTAAGCCATCTATTCCAACATCTATTAAAACTTGATCTTTTTCATTTAAAAATGGAAATGAACGAGATTCAAAATGCGTTTGAATACCAATATACGTAAATTCTCCACCCGAAATATTCTTAATAACCGATTTATTTTTTGTAGTTTCAAGCAAAGTTTTTGCTGATAAGGGTAAATCATGAATGCCTATTTTTCTTAAAGCGCTTAGCAAATTGCTCAACACTGCTTGAGACACATTATTTTCAATTGCCCATAATTTTAAAATTTTACACTTTTCTGCACTTGTTATACATTCTATTTCATTTTCCGACCGGCATTCTGAATCGGAAAATGAAAAAGAATTTTCGGGGCTAGAATATGGCGCAGACGCGGCACCTCCGCCATCTTCCCCATCAGCTTGCGCAAATTCGGGTAAGCTTTTATATTTCAACGCACTTCTTTCACATTCTTTTTTTAGTTTGCACATTTCGTTACTAAACGTTTTTCTCTTCATTTTTTGTTTGAATTATATCGCTTAACTCACCTGTACCAATTTAATAATTATTTTCTCTCGGTTTCTGCAATATGGCGGGCGCGTCCACTTTTAGCGAAAATGATAATTTTTAGTTGCATACGTCATGCTGCCACCGCGGAAAGAAATCTTTGGAGCCAACAAAAAAACCTAACTTATGGAATTGAATTTAATAATTTATCGATTGGGTAACACCGTTTTCTTCTTTTGGTGTTCTTCTTCTTCTTCGGTAAAACGAAACATTCAACATTCCTATGTACACGATATGTGCGAGTGAATAAAGTAAATGATTAAAGTACAAATATTGAATGATGTTGTTTCTTTCCACAAATCTTTACCGGCGGATTCATATATGTATTGGTAAAATTGCTGAAATTGATTTGTGAAACGGTCATTGAATTTTTGCAGGGTAGTTAACTTACATACATACCCAGTAGAAATTCTATGCATATAACATCGCTGTTGATGGCATGAGCTTGCTGCTGTGTATACATGTGTGTGTATAAATTTGAAAATAATTTGCAAGAATCTCCACATACATAACAAACATACAACCTAAATGTATACTATGCACTTAGCTCTAAATTTTAACATTTTCGCAGCTCCCTATGTTTATCTTCATCTAAAGCTGGGATCACAAGATTTGTACATTTTAACAGTTACGGAGTGGTGTTGTTTGAAAGTTGTTAATGAGCTAAACTCATTATTTCTAGACAACACCACTCTGTGACTGTCAAAATGTACAAATCTGTACACATGTACAAATGTTGTGATAGAATAGATAAAGAATATAGTTTTAGGCGAATCTGTTAAGAATTATTTTATTTGGTTGGATTGCAGCTGTTATTAAAGCTAAATGTATGTTAAGCAAAATGTATAAAAAATTGCTAAAGGAAATTCTCACAGCCGCAGCAAAGTCGAAGCAAATGAAATAAACAAAATTTTAGCATTTTAAAACGGTGGGTGAAACGGAATACCGTGTATAACGGTAAACAATTGAAAGTGTCAAATCGCCCCTTTTAACATTTTTAATTTTCAGTATTATTGAGAGGTTCGCCATGAACAGACAATACAATATTTCAAGTGTCATTTCAATGTGCGTGAGTTAAATTGACGTACCGAGTGAGTTCCGTAATAGAGCATATTTTGTTAGTTTATAATTGGGTAAGTTTTTATACTATGTTATTTATTGTTTGTTATTTCGATTGTTACCAGAGAACGTGCAAAATAAATGTCTCCATACTGTTTACCTGCAATGGATAACAGATTTGATTTAAATCAGGGTTTGATATTGCTTGACTATTTTCAATGCATTTGATACCACTTAACTGCGACTGAAGACATATAAATCAGCGAAAGCAGACAGAAAAAGCGAAAAGAGTCATGAAATCATTGCTTTTGCTTACAGCACAGTTGGTTTTTGCTTAGACAGTCAGCCGAAGCAACTACTTTTGAAAAATTGGCTGTTGCTGCAAGCAGTAAGTTTGGCGTATTCTCATTTTTGCTTTTTTCCTTGCTGCGTTATTATCCATATCGTCGGTGATACTGCAAAACGGTCTATGTCTATTAGTACCCTTGATACTTAGATGGTCTCTTACTTGCACCGGAATGCATCTGTAAATCGTTATACCCTAATAAACGAATGACAAAACTGCCTACCGTTGGCTGATGAAGATGAACGATTGCCAGAAGCGATCAGATACAGATAACAGATCAATTAAGCACCAGAGGTAACAAGTGATATAGAACGTTTCGCAGTATCACCGACGATACATATGTATGTACATACTTCATCGAAGTACGCTTGCTTCTTTCATACATATGTACATATATACGTACATACAAACACACATATGTATGTATGTAGGTACTGCGCGTTGCTGAGGGAGTTGCTTGCAGCAATAGTAATTTTTCTAAACTAGTGATTTTTCATATTCCCTTTTAGTGTTGCTCGTTTCATTTACAGTGCCCACACAAGGAACATGTGCGCGAGCATGCTCGTGCTGCGGTGCATGTTCGTCGTTTGTGGGGCAGTTAATGGGCATGTTCGCCAAAAAAAAAAAAAAAAATTGAGTTTCAGTGAGCATGTTCGTCCTTTGTGGCGTGGTTTGCGAATATTGCATTGGAAACAAAAACAACAACCTCATTTTTTTTTGTTGATGCTTGCAGTGTGCATGCAAACGACAGCGAGCATGTTGGCGAGCATTTTCGTCGTTGATGGCCACATTTCCTCGTCACGCTCTCTCCTGCAAACGTCGAGTTGCCGCAGCAAAAATCGCCGTGTGTAAATGAGCACTAATAGCGCTCTTACACGATATGTGTTTTCATATGTAAATGCTATTTTTCTGATACGTTCCAATATATGGTACATACGAGTAGATACAAAAAAGTAGCATTTACATATACACATCGTGTAAGAGCGCTGTAAGCAATATCAAATGAATGGAAAATGACCAAGAGCTGCTTGCTTTAAAAAGCAAAAAAAGTATTGCTTATGCTATTTTGCAGTCAGGAATGCAAACTTTGATTTAAATAACTATTGTATTACAGGTTTATCGGAGTACTATACAAAATGAAAAAGGAAACAACTACATAAAGAAAGAAGAGGTTATTAAAAGCTAAATACAAACGCAAGAAAGATCAAACAAATGTGACAGATAAACCAAGAGTAATCATATTAAACAAGGAAAGAGAACGCGTTTCACAGATACCAGCAACCGTTCTCCCGATTTTCAAAAATGAGGTGTCAGATGAAAGAGCTTGGCCTCAAGAAGTGCGGTAAGGCCTTTTTTTTGAATAGGATTGCCACTTTTTTTAATTATAAAATCTGCACGGTTCGTTTGATGAGGGCTGGGCCTGAAGACGTACAATAAGGATTTATTTTTTGAACAGAGTTGCCGCCTGTCTACAAAATCATAATATTTACATCCTTCGCATGATTTTCCAAAATGAGGTATCAAATGAAAGTGCCTGGGGTTTAGAAGTGCACCAAGGCTTTTATTTTTGAATAGGGTTACCTTCTGTCAAAAAGCTATAATGATTACACCGTTTGCCCGGTTTTAAAAAAACGTGGGGTCAAATAAAGAGGTTTTGCCTACAGGTGTGCAAGAGGGTTTATATTTTTTTTTGTAAATACTGTTTTCGACAACTCGTTAGGGCATTGCTATGCAGATGGTTGCTCTTACCAAAGCATGTTAAAATTGCGTTTGCTTATGCATGCATGTGTATGTATGTATGTTCTTTGGTTGCAGATGATTGTTTCTACCAAAGCATGTTAAAATTGCGTTTGCTTATGCATACATGCACGTATATGTTTTGGTGCGTTTATTCATATCTACCCTTATATGTACAATATTTATACATATGTACATTCTACAACTATGTATGCATGTGAAAAAAATTTATTCGATGGTGTTATTATTTTCTTATATACATGTTAGGTAGAATGCATTTTCGCTGTTGTTCACACGCGAAATTTTTGTACCCAACATATATTTCTATATACTTGCAATAATTGTGAGGGCTATGCCCATCTGCTGGTAGAACCGCAAATATTGCTGTTGAATGATGTTTTGCTATATAGATTTCTGAGAAATACTATCGACCATAATTTCATGAAAATGCATTCCATTATTATATGCAATTAATGGAAGTTGTACTAGCCATCAGTGTTGATATTTTAAGTACAATTGTACTTTTTTCAGTACAATTAGTTTTAAAAAGTACAAAAGTACAATTTACCGATTTTAAGTACAATTTCAACATCAAAAATACTTTTTGTACAAAA